AAAAGCCAACGCTTTTTTCTAGACGATTGATTTGGCACAGTGAACAATTCTACAGAAAAACGGCACAGAAGTACAAGGATTTAACGTTGAGTGCCAGGCAGCCGGCAAAAAATACATAGATTGGACACGCCTTAATGGCCGATAACTGAAAAATACACGACGTGAAACGCAACTCCGAAATTTTTCGCGTGCGATAGACTGAGGTTTACTGTGCATTTGAAAAGCAGGTTTAATCTACGTTTGCTGAAATGTACTTAAGCTATATATCGTAACAAATCGTTCTTTATCGTTGATGCTCTTCTAAAGAAGAATTAATGGTAACTTAGGAACTATGTTTTCCATTAAGGTAAATAAATGTTAGTTTCTCAAAATACATCTTTTACGTCTATTATCTAACTAGTTTAGTTCGGATTTTGTGAATGTGGAATGATCTTGCATTTTAAATTCGCATGTCACCTGTATGAAAGGTCAAAACTGGCGTAGTTCACCTCACATTTTGAATTACAAGCTCTGGTTCTGTGTTGGGCCGTGAATTCATCCTGACGATCATCGCCTTTTTTCGCTCCATTTCTTTATCCGAATTTCCTCATTGTCAGCGTACCTTGTGCTTTTCTTTCAAATGTAAGAGTAAGTACTGCAGTAGCTGCAAGATATTTTAGGGCTGATCTGATTCGTTGACTACTGTGTTTTCTTTCAATTTATGCTAAATTTTGCGGAAACTCTTATTTCTAAAGTTCGCGATTACGGTAAAGCTTAGAAGAGACTGAATAGTAATACACTTTCCACAGATACTCTTCTCGAATCTGCTTATGCATACGTTAGGTGCATAACAGGTCTAATAATGGCTTTTGCGGATAATCATCAAGTCTAAGATAAAAGCTAAAGGATGTTCATTCATAAACTTTTCGCAACTGCAATGAAGACAAAAACGGAGTGCTGTCCGAATCTGACGTAAGACCAACTGAATCCGCACCTGCACATCTGATGCATCGTTTTGCAACGAGTAGGAATGTTTGTCCGCTACTCATCAAAATGATCTTAAGAATTCGATGATCGAAAATAGTCTTTATTGCATTAAAGGCTGACACTGATTTGGTCTGCTCGAATCAAGTTCTCCAATGTTTCTTCCGCTATTATGTCCATACGCTGTCGTATAAAATAAAGAAGGGTTCCGCATCAAATGTGACTGTATCTTACAAGACATTGTTTGATGAACTCCTTCCCGGTCAGCTCCATGAATCTTGATTGCGTTCAATTTAATGTATATGATATCGTGGATGATGGTCGTCGACTTAACGCTGACATATGAGGAATTAAATTCGCCGAAATTTTTGTATCTATTCGTCCAGAAGCAAGCAAAAGTAATGACGATTCAGTCGTAAACTTTACACCGAAAGCAGATGAATTTGTCTTTTCTTACAATCAATAAAAATGAAAAGATCAATTCATCACTCGAAAAGAGAGCATACAGCAGTAATGCATATCGGTGGAAACAGCGGAAACAGCCGTGTACAAACATGTTTGTTATACAAAATTTGTCTAACTGTCCCACATGACAACAAATTGTCCGGATGCTGGGGAGGATTAGTTGTACCTAGCGGAACAGTGCTATATATACTACATTTGACATGATCAGTAATGGATGAGAAATTACAGGCTATACCTAAGGTTCTGGTTGTTGCACATCATTGTTCACCCGGTAAGTAAGACCGTCACCGAATGACGAAGGTTAATTGAGTACGTGTTCAATTTTAGAACAATATTGCTACAGGCCGTGGAAGAAATTGTGAAGCATTTCGTTTTGTTTCCTTATCTTGTAGATTTTCGCTACAATGCTTTAAAGCGTTAAGTGCTGACCTTTTTTGTCCATGACAACGACATAATTCTCGTACGTTATTAATTTATGCGAAGAAAGAAATTCCGCCATGGCCTCTAAATGCTTTACTTGATAAGTAGGTTTCCAGGTTTCTAACCGTCTCTTTCTTCAACCACTATAGAGTCTCTGGCTCTTTGAAATAAAGCACCAGCTAATTAGCATCTCCTCCTGTGATAGCCTAGTGGTCATACGCCTATGCCCGTTGGATAAGGATATTGTTAATTTCGAATTAAGCCCTTGTTGTGGAATTGAAATAAAGTGAAATGAAATAACTGCATAACACAAGAATAACGGGAAAAGGCCGGCAATTTATGTCGCGATAGCATGCAACCAATCATCATGTTTCTGTAACACATTCGCGGTTATCATTTCACTAATAGATCTGAAGTAGATGAAGCCCAAACATTTGTTCATTACGAAAAGATATCTGAAATTTTGCAGATATAAGAGAACAGATTTCAGGGGCGACGAACAACAACAATTTTTCTGCGATTATTAATGAACCTTGTAAATATGACTGAGTGTAAAGAACATAACATTTGAAACAACACTAAATGACTTATGTCTTTTGCTAGTTATCGCAGAATGTGCAGCTATTAGATGTATCAGGTCTAATTGCTGCCTTATGAGGCACTCGCATTAAATAGCATGTTAATACCGCTTGTCTAATCTGATGTGACTACACCAGAATACCATGCTGCCCTGCTGTTCGCATGTCAACGACTTTCTATTCGTTTATCGGCATCGAAGCAACGTTGGATAATTCCTTGTTTAGGGGAATTATTGGTTAAAACAAATTTGTCTTTCTCAGGATTCGTACCCTGCACCTCAGAAATCGAAGCCTACCATTTTGTCCCTATGCCATTCCGCCGTCTCTGAATGGCATCAGAGACAGACTTAACGATAAATGTGAAGAGGTCGTTTTCAATCAACAGAAGAGCCCACAAGCTGTCAAAGGTAGTAATTTCAGCTCGAATGGGTACAAAACCACGTGCTGGAGTCCATACCACGTCAAGATTCAAGAAATTTCTATACAGGAAAATGTTCATGTCCTTAAAATGAAAGGTCTTCAATTATTGATGTTTCCGGTGCTGAGGAATGGATGCTATGCGTGATTGCTAAGCATGAGAAATGCAAACTACACAACAAGAATAAAAAATGTCTGTTACTACAACGTAAAATAAGAAAATAAACAAATGCTTCAGAGCAGGTACCGGACCCACCGGAGAAATGGTAAAGGAAGATATTTGAAACGGTGAAAAGCCGGATACGATCAAGAAAAGCGGAGACCTTTAGAAGATTAAAGAGGTATCACACATAGTTTAACACAGGAAAGTCTGAGCTCTCAGAACCTGTTGGAGCTGAGTCGATAAGACTTGCAGTTGAGCGCGTTCTGTGGTAAATTGTGCAGAGACATTCATCAAGCTGTGGATCATAGAAGGCTGCTGAAGAGGACGAGTAGGAGGAAGTGGAGAGGAGCGTTAAAGACGACGATACGATGATAACTATAAGAGTTTCCAATGGTCTAATTTCTACTGACTAGAGAATATAATGCATCTGTTGCTTGTTTTCCACGATGGATATGGAAATGGACGAACCTCACGAAACTCACGCCCTGATGACGTCCATAGCAAAATGGAAAGATGCTCGCTGTGAGGCTTGAACATATCCATTGATTGCACCAGCTCCTTATTTATCTTCAGTTAGGTCACTGAGAGAGTACAGTAGCCTCGTTTTTGAGCAGTCGTAATCCAAAGGTAGCAGAGACATGGGAAAAATTCGCCGCGAAAGTGAACTGGGATATGTTCGAAATATTTATTTCATATTCTCTTATCGGTTCTTTTCAGCAGTTTTGTCAATTGTGTGATTTTTCTGTCAATGTTTATTCTCGGTTATTGTAAATAACCACTTCAAAGTTTAGAACTAGCGCCATTATGATTTTCGTTTATTTGTTGCTGTTATGGAATGATATAGTT